GACCAAGGGCTACACCTAGGGATTAGGCCGGCCCTCTGCCACCAGGGAGCAGGCCTAAGCCAGCAGGTCGTTATCAAGAGGGCACAGGCCGGGCTGAGGGACCCTCCCTCCCCCCCAAGAGCACAAATTTTTGTGCACTGGGCCTCTAGTATATATATAAAACCCTAAGCGAATGGTCGACCGTTTGACCAGTAGCTATGACGTGCACTGACCACCAGGGGGCAGATGCTCAACGCAGGAGCTGTCACCTGGTGGTCAGTGTGCTCCCACAGCAGGAGCACCGCTCAGCTGACCCACAGGCACCAGACGATGTGCTCATGGCTGGTGAGCGCAGCTGTGACAGTGCTACCGAGCGGCTGCGACGGCAGGCTCACTCTTCCCTGGCCGCCTGCCACTTTGCACACTACTAAATCCCTCGGGGGATGTCAGACTGTCGGTTTCCAAAATGGGCGGTCTGACATCCCCTGAGTGACCCCGGATTGCGAGAGGGCACAGGCCAGCTGAGGAACCCCACCAGTGCAAAAATCCGTGCACTGGGCCTCTATTCCAATATAATGATGAACTAATGAACCCTAATAAACTGGAAAAAGTTGGGAAAATGAAGGAAATGGCTACATTGTGTTTATTACATCCTTAGAGGCACAATTTGTAAAATAACTCCCTAAATGACTACTTATAAGTTCATTTCTTTATTTTAATAATTAGAAATATTAACAAAAATGATATTACTACTTGAAATACCGATCTTGACAAGTCCTTTTTTCCCATTAAAATGACTTCCTGAAAGTGTCACAAGAAGTTAATGAATCGCTTGTTAATTAAATTTGAACTTTTCTTCTCTGATATTCAAATGGAAAAAAACTGAAATATAATAAATTCAAAATGCTTCATACTAAATTGAACACTGATAGTGATATAAATGTTATAAATGGTGATGTTACACATGAATCTATAGGATTCACAATGGAATTCGCTAATTTTGAATATGGGCTTATCTTTTAAGTTTATTTTGTTCCTGAAAATTCAAGTGCTGAAATAATGTTTTATGAGCATTTTTTAATTAGCCAAGTGTAACTTTCCATGAAAAATTTAAACATTCTCATCCCACTAACAACTCAATCTATCTTTTCTTCTCTTATTTTGTTAGCCTCTTAGCAAATATCCTGCTGTGATAAATGACATTTCATTCTGGTTGCCCTCGGAGAATTACACAGAAAATGATTTCTATGACTTAGTACGAACAATTGGAGGAGATTTGGTGGAAAAAGTTGATCTTATAGACAAGTTTGAACATCCAAAGTAAGTAAAAAACTTTCTGATTTTATCCTTTGTTCTCTCTATGTGACAAGTGGCATGTGGAAACATATAATAACATTTTGCTGAAATCCAGTGCATGCTAGACAAAATATCTTCTGAATTTATAGTGAATGCATGGCTTCTCAGAAAAGCCTTTCATATCAGTCCTTCCTGAAAATCTTTCTGAAATGCGTTTTTAATCTTTCCTGCCCTGGTTAAAGAAAGTATAAGAAACTGGATGTTTTAAAGATCTTGGAGTTGTTCAGTATTGCTTTTGGAAGTGATTCTGTAGCATATCACATCCCAGGAACAGAGGATAAGGCCCAAAGAAGAGTTTGTGGAGAAAAAGTGTTTTGTTAATCTCCAGGTGAATATTTATTAACCATATACCTCAAGCCAAAATCTGTATCAGGTCGTAAGATAAAATGTAATAACTTTATCAGGACTTTTTTCGGTATTGACCCGTCCTCCCTGATATGTATATATTTGTCCCTCACTAATCAAGTTTAACTCTGCTTTGGCCTTAGAACTGTTTTTCCTGAATTCTCTCTCAGGGTTTGTATTGATCCATTGATCTGTTCTTGAGGGACTCCAGTGATGCCTGAGGAGGCTGTCCTAAGTCTGACTTCTCTACCTTTCATTTTCTCTCTAATGTATTAGAACTCTGTGTTTTCAATGTTTTCCACTTCATTTTGAATGCTTTCCTCCTTGTGTCTTCTCTGCTCCTTACTGTGTTTCCTTGCACACATTGTATTTCCATCTGCAGTTACTCTGTTTTCCCCCTTTTCTGAGTTCTGCAAGCTCATATTTCAGTTTGTTTTCTTACTATCTTTTCTCTGAGTTATTTCTGCTTTGTGATTTTCCCTCATAGAGAAATTGCCTCATTTGGTTTTTAAAATTCTTTGTAATATATTTGGCTAGAAACTTCATTTGATTTGTTGGCAGCATTTTTCTATGACTTCCCTGTCATTCTCCTTATTCTTTTAACTGTTTTAATTGCTGTGTCAGTTGTATGCCTATGATTGCCTTTTTGTCACACATATTTGACTATATTGGATTTTCTGAACCAGCTACTGACACAAGCCTGGGGTTGAGGTTCAAGAGTTAACTCAGTAGGGAAGGGCTAGTAGTCATTCAGGCTACATGTCTTCACAACCATAGGCTTTCTTTGTCTCCACCTCCATGAAACCAACTCTTTCTTTAAATATGGCTCATCCATCTCTGAGTCTTTTAGTAGGTCTGCCTCCCACCCCAAGTCTACCCTAGTTACAAACAGAAGATCCACCTTTGCTAACTCCAGTTCCAATACTTATTGGTGATATAGACTTTGCACTTCAGATTATAACCCTTAGCACTGAGAAATGTATTTTTGCTGGTGTTCGGGAATATGTGCTCAAAGACATGGCACTCTGTGTGCTTCTGCTCTTTGCTTCCTCCCATTTAGCTTCTACTTGATTTTGGCTGTTTTTGGCAGCCTTTAAATATATTTTGGAGCTTGCAGATGATATTTGTCTCCTAACTGTACAGACAATAGAATGGATGTACAGGGTAGCTTGGGCCCCTGACATGATAGATACCATTCAGCCCTGTACTTTTATGTGAGAAAGAAGTTTCCATGGGTTAACATGTTGATATCGAAAGACTGGATATTACTTTTGAAGAGGAGCAAATATATGGGAATAAGACTTACTGCAAAGTATCAACTGATATGCCCAAAGCACATGACTCACCATTGTTTTCCATTCTTATTTAATACACAGATAACTTCTGGAATCAAGGATTCAGAATTCAATCTTAATTTCTTCTCAGGCTCTTACTTCCTGATACTGACTTAGATCCACCTCTACCTCTTATATCATCTGTGTGAAAAGTGAGATAAGTAGCTTTTCTTGGTTGGAGATGAGCAGAACCTAAAGGTCACTGTGAGATGTTATTGCCGGGGTGTAGTGATGAGGGTAAATGGAATGGGCATGTTAATTGGAGGGAATGCCGGGGGCATGGGGAAGTATCAGGGTCCTGTGGACTCAGGAACAGACCAGGCAGACAGTCCATTAAAGACAAAGTCCCAGACTGTGTAGGAGAATTGTATAACTCAGGTCTGCACACAACCCATGCTCACTGGTTGTGCTGAAGGAGAATTCGTCCCTTCCTTCTGGAGGAGACAATACTTTTGATTGGAAATTTGAAAACAACCAGCCAGAAAATGCTTCTGTCACTGATCTTCAATAAATATTAAGCAACATTTAAGTCCTGTCATTTTGGAGCTATGCCAAATGATCACCCTGCCCCGAGAGCCTACCTATCTTTTCCTTTGTTTGCTGTTTTTGTTGTTGTTGTTGTTAATCCTCACATGAGGATATTTTTCTATTGATTTTTAGGGAGAGTGGAAGAGAGAAAGACAGAAAAATCAAGAAAAAATCTTGATCTTTTTTTAACCAAAGCAGTTTGTCAGCCAACGAAAAGTCTATACTGGGTGTATCAGTTCAGCCAGTAGTTCATATGACATGTTTATTGGTATTTCCAGAGGCCTCCTTAAAAGTTGGGCTGAAGCTGTCCTTTTTCCTCTTGCTACCTGGATGTGAATATAGTGGCTGGTACTTTGGCGACCATTCTGGATCACAGTGTGTCCTTGGTAGTGGAAGTTGTGGGGAGTACAGCTTGGGTCTCATGGCACTGGAGTGTCAGTTCAGCCTTGGACTTTATATGAGAGAGAGTATCTTGTTTAAGCTACTGTTTTTCAAATCTTCATTCCTGACAACCAAAGTAAGGACAAACAAACCTTGCTCTTATAGCACTGAGGAAAAGCACATTATTTCGTCATGGTGGCTCCTTGTGCAATGATTCTCAGGAAGTACCTAGGGCAGGAGGTGACAAACTTTTGCTATTAAAGGACAGATAGTAAATATTTTTTACTTCATGGGCCATATGATCTCTGTCACATCTACTCAACTCTGCCCTTTTGAAAGCAGCCATAGAGAAAACGAAATCAAATTGTCATGGCTGTGTTCTAATAAAGCCTTAATTACAAAAACAGGTGGTCAGCAAGTTTTGGCTCATAGTTTGCTGACCCCTGATAAAGGGGAGGGAGACACATGTAATTTTTCTGAAGATTGCCCTCTCCCGCCCCCCACAGATTCTGAAATCCTCCCGAAGGAGGTCATTCTTCCCTGAGCACCTGGCACCCTCCTGGTCTCCTCCCACTTGGGCAGTGGCAAGTGAAGGTCACCTGACCTTGTACTCATCAATGCATAGCTTGATCTCAAGATTTATTTCATTTATTTATTTATTTTAAATTAAATCTTTATTGTTCAGATTATTACATTTGTTCCTCTTTTTTCCCCTCATAACTCCCCTCCTCCCAGTTCCCGCCCCACCCTCCGCCCTCACTCCCCACCCACTGTCCTCATCCATAGATGTACGATTTTTGTCCAGTTTCTTCCTGCATCTCCCACACCCCTTTCCCCCACAAGAATAGTCAGTCTATTCCCTTTCTATGTCCCTGATTCTATTATGATCACCAGATTATTTATTCACTTGATTCTTAGATTCACTTGTTGATAGATGCATGTTTGTTCATAATTTG